AAACTTTAACCAAAAAAAAAGAAAGAACTTCCAAAAGTTCCTGCAACCTTCTCACAGTGATGCAGTTTTTTTTTTTTTTTATCTTAATGGTTTTGCATCTTCATAGGTTTTCTATATATTGAACCTGAAGCACCTCGCTTTAAATAGGATAAGATAAAAAATATATAGCCCTTTGTTTGTGATTGACTGAATAAAATGCATTAACACTCAAGTCCAGTCCTCCAGAACTACCATTCTGTAACTTTTAGCTTTTAAAGCCTCAATCCCCTCATGTAGCTCAGCAGGGGTGTGGTAACGAGCCACTTATTTGATTCAGGTGTGTTAAAAATGTCAAAAAGTTGCAGGATTGTAGCTCTTGAGGACTGGACTTGAACACCCCTGCATTAAAAAGTTTGTAGGAAAAAAAAGTTATCTTTTCAAACCAAGTCTACTTGATTACTTTAAAGACTTGTATTACAATATCAGTCATAGCAAACCATTTATCCTTTCTTTTTGCATTTTGAATAAATACCTTTTCTTCATATCAAATATGTTTAATTTGGTGCTAAACTGTCTCGAGAACATGATTGTTATACATACGAGTCCATATTTCCATATATCATCCTCTGACATGGGAGCTGGCTTGGAGCTCGTCTGCCTGGCTGTGTGTTTCCTGGACGGGGCCGCCTTTTACAGCTGCTTTTTGCATCTCTGCTTCTGCCTCCTTGAACCTCAGTCGGCCTCGGCAGATGGCCGCTCACACTGAGCCTGGTTCTGCTGGAGGTTTCTTCCTGTTAAAAGGGAGTTTTTCCTCTCCACCTTCGCTACAAGCATGCTTAGTGTTAGGGATTGCCTTCCAGTCAATGACTCGATTCAATCAACTGGTTTTCCTTAGATAGAAAACTTTGAATCAATTTGACTCTATTATCTGGTGAACTTTAAAAAGCCTTGAGGTGACGTGTGTGAATCGGCGCTATATAAATAAACTGAATTGAATATTTGTTTACACTTGGATGCCAATGCTATCCTTTGCAGGTAGCATTTGTAACAGTACTACATACACATATGGGCAAAAATAAATAGAATAAGACATAAAACTAACTTTCATCAGAACATAATCAAACATTTCTTTAAACTGATCTTATTTGCTTAGTTTTTAAACACGTTTGCCCATTAACTTTGGTAGCTAGCATTCATGGCGTTATTATGTAACTAGTCTTTATAAATGGAACATCAACAAAACTCTTTAAGCCATACTGACCATTAAAAGTGCTATACACTAGCAGTTGCACCACTACAACTGATAGGTAGGCAACATGGCTTTTAGTGCATTGCACAAGGGCACAAACATTTACGGAGGAAACTGCAATGGAACCCTTTCCAAACGCAAAAGAGGACTATCAATCCCACGTAGCCCGACTAGTTCATTCATCAAGAAATATACATTTTAATTAAAAGCAGTTTGGAAAAGAAAATAATAAAAACAAGATGTTAACAGAACAAAAAAATGTAATACTAATTGTGCCTTTTACCTTAAATAACCCTTACATATTCCATTAATTCTAGTTTTTAAGATTCATACATAAAAAGGTTTGAATAAACTGTCTAAATCATGCTTTTTAATTGCTGCTTATATTACTGAGTTTTCAAAGGAACCAGGTTTCCATCATCAGTTTAATGCAAAGGATATAAAGAAGAAAAGAGCTGCACACCATTAGGATCTTTATGATGTTTTATTCCAGCACAAGTTGTTTGTGTTGTAAAATGGCTGTGTAGCTAGGAATTAAAAGGAGAGGTACAAAATGGAAAATCAGAGACGGTTCTAGCATATGCTTTAATCTCTATCCTGTTCATGTCCTAAAACCACATCTTGGCAAACATTTCCCTGCCTTCTTTGGAAACATGGCGAAAACATTAAAATTAAAGTCAAAAAAATAAAAGCAGAAAGATTATGCTTTATTTCAAGTCACTCTCACAATGAAGGGGAGGGGGGGTCTGAGAGGGGACAGTGGATGAAACACATTTACAGTCTGATTCAAAATGTTTTCACCTACCTAATCAGGTAGCCCTTTTTTCACACAGTTTTTACCAACAGTGGCACAACAGGAGGGCAGCAACTATGCACCTTTTTTTTTTTTTTGCATTAGTTTGACAAGAACTACTGCTCCTCAAAGAAAGTTACTAATACCAACCTTAAAAACCACGACAGGTGTACATTCGAGAGAGCTTCCCTCGTCTGCATGACGAGCCGCTCCTTTCCTATTCACCGACTTCCTTTCAACACCTCAGAACCATTTTCAGAAATAAAATTAAAAAACATAAAACCCATCGGTATTAAGAGGAAACGTGAGGAAAACAGCATTTTAAGATTGTATTCAACCGGCACGTCCGGTAAGGCTTGAGATCTCTTCTTCTAAATAATTATTAGTATTTTAACAGTTTGCAACTGGGGCCCCATGTGTCACAGCACACAGAGATTCAGCAGCTATACACATTTTCCAAAAATAAAAACAAACAAAAAATACAGGGTAATACTGTAAAGTTTAGGTAAAATCCTTCTTTTATACTTAAACATTCATATTTCAAAATAAGATTTTTTTTTACTTGTAATAAACCACCAATGAGAGACACTGCAGTCATTTCTAACATTTTCTCAACTTTGTTATGTACAAGATTGAAACATACCATGACATGAAGAAATAACCTAATGATCTAATTAAAAAAAAAAGAAAAAAAGAAAATGAAATGAACAATAATGACCACTGCAGGTGAAATGGTTTGAAAACTGTGACGTCACAGAGCAACACGACATGACTCTTATTTATAAAAATGGGGGTAAAGACGACCACACACACTCATTTAGGCAAGTTATGCTGTAAATTTACAGTTATGACACCTAGAACTCTGTAGGCCAAAATCTCTAATGTAGAATGCTAAACATTAGGGTAGCTTTCTATTAAAAAAAAAAAAAAAAAAAAAAAAAAAAAAAATCAAGGAACGATAAGTAGTTTATGGCTTTAAACATCTGATTTCTCCACTCAGCCTCGCTGAAATTACTGTCAGGGCAGAAGTTTAATCTCCTGCATCAACACATGAATGTAATTCAGTTTGGGAGATGAGGTGGAGGGATAACAGGAGGAACCCACGAGGGACGGCGCTGTCGAAGATTTTCCACCCTTTTCACAATTATCCATCATTTAATCAAAAAAAAAAAAAAATCACAATTAAAGGATTCAGATCATCAAACTGTTAATAGACCGATAACCTGAGTAGTTTTCAAATAACTACCTCGTTCATAATGATGAGAAAACAAGTTCTCCAAATAAAACCAGGCCCTGTGTGAAAAACCCTTTTGTGAGTAAATTCATTGGGTTTGACCACATTTAAGTTGTTCAAAGTCACTAAGAACATTTGAATTGAGAATCACCTAAATGAAAGCCGAAATAAAACAAAGTAGACGAATAAAAACAACAAATGGTGCTGAATCCTTTTTCATAAGAAGCCGGTCAATCAGAATTACGCCACAGCTGAGCGTCTTCTTCAGGAGATCACGAAGAAACAAATAACTTCCAGAGCGCAGCTCTTCTCTGCTATTCCACAATAAGCGAGTGAGCGACAGTGGACCAACGAGAACAGTACGGACTGTCGCACCTCGCTAACGGAAATAGCCGATAAGCTTACGATTATGACTTGGTGCAACTCACAGAACCAAAAATTCTGCTCTCTAGAAGCAGATCCTGAAGCAGAAGGTCCAATTCACTCCCTTTAACTTGAACCCAATTAATTAAAGGAGAGAAGTGATCCAAAGTTCCTCAGAAAACTTATTTAATGAGGTAAAAAATAAAAAAAATAAAAGAGGCCTTGTTAAAGTCTGGCCTAAATCTGATGGAGTGATATGACTTTAAATAAGTAGAAATTAGGCTAAAATAAAACAGTTCTGCAAATGAAAATTACTCCATGATTGTTAGGGCTGATGCTAGAATGCCTTTGATACCCAGTTATGGGTATAAAATGCAGAGGATAATTTATATCATCTTTGTTTTTTTTTCTACATAGGGCAGGTTGGTGGTGGCAGCTTTATTTGCCAGTATTTAAATTTAAAATAGCTTTTACTATTATTACTAGTCTTTGCCCAATAATAAAGTTGCATTTATGTTCTGAAGCGTTTAAGTGTAAATATCGAAAAAAAAAAGTCAAAAAGGGGTAAAATATTCCACACAGCATTGTTAGTTTTACACAAGCAGCCTGCTCGTCTTTTCCTGCTGCATTAAGTTTTTAAAAAACAATCTCTCATTAATTTAAATAAAACCTATTTATTTAAATAATTGTTAAGGAAAGTCCCGTCTTTTTTTCCCTCCAACAATGCATCGTAGCAATAATCCCTTTAGGTTTTGTTGCGGTATACCAAATAAAAAAAAACAAACCATAAATCCCAATTTTTCAGCAAGCTCTGCCACAACAGACACATCGACAGAAGGTCCTGATGATTAAAAACAAAACATATACAATGGCGGATGTTGTGAAGATATGCGGGTTAAAGGAAGAACGTAAAATAAACTTAAAGATTGACAGCTACCATTTTGAAGTCTTTCCTGGGGTGGGGAGCAGTTAGGGCAGTATGGATCCTTAGTGCAATGAAGGCCAGAGGAGCGGCCGGCTGCGTAGCCTCAACATCTAAGCAGCCACTCGCCCTGCAACGTGTAGCCAGCTGAATCATCGGCGGGCTTACGGAGAGGTCCGGGGAGGCTTCGGCGACTCTCACAGGGAAGGAAATCGAGGAAGGGGTTGGGGTTAGCTTCTATTCGAACGTATTTCTGTTCACAAACATGTCCAGATGTACTGCATACTCTGTAAAACTACTACGGCTGAAGCCTCGGAGACGGGGAGAGAGAGAGTCCGGTCCAGAGCATCTTCTGGAGGAGTCCTGAGCCTCGTTTCATCACCTTCCAATAAAAGTCATGTAAGTGTCTACATGTATGAGGACGTGTAAACATTAAAATGTGAATAGTGAGGGGATGGGGGGAGATTATTCTCGCTGCAGCGAGTGTGTGGCGTAGGGTCTGTGTGCGACACCTATGTGTGTGACTGTTTTTCCTCTTTTTTTTGTATTTTATGGACTGAAATCTGTGTTTATGATTTAGTTTTTTCCTTGCTTCCAAAGCGGTCTCTCCTATCCTGCAGATGTACATTCATCCATCGTAAGGGGGGTGGGGGTGCAGGGTTGAGTGTGACACTTGGTCACACACACAAACGGCGACTGATCCTGAGGCTTTTCCAGCGGTCCAATAAAGACACCCAGCTCGTCCGCGCACTCAAAATAAACAACAGTAGAGGTACTGAAAGACATTGTACCACATGTAGCCAGAAGCAAAAGCAAACGACTGGACCATGCACAGCCACACAGGGTCAAGGGTCATTTGCCGGGAGGCTGCCACCTTCTGGCCTTCTGGAGGAGGGAACGATCCTGTTGGAGGAGGAAGAAAAACATGATTTGGTTCTGATCAAAGTGACTGGAACGAGCTTTTCCTGCGGGATAATGACCCAGTTCTGATGAACAAACCAACGGGTCAGACATACCTGTGTCGTAAAAGTGGGCCAACAACTCTTCTTTCTCCACAAACCGCTGATACAGCCAATTAGTCAGGGCCTCGGCCTCCACAGGAACCTCTTTGATTGGATACATCCTGACGCACAGGAGGAAAACCATGAATAATGATTAAAAAAACAATAGAAAAAGTATTTATCTGTAGTTGAGGTCCAAGAACTACAGAAGACTACATGTAAAAAGATGAGAGCAGGATCCTTTTATTGTAGTCAGTAATAAAAACAGGCACCGAAAACAATCTGTCAATTATTTTTTTCAACTAACTGATTAATAATTGGATAGCAAAATGTTCTTTAAATAAGACGTTTTACGAAATTAACCAAGTGAAACTAAAACTTTTTTTGTATCATCTTAAATGGAAATTTTTTATATATTTTTGCCTAAGTGCTCTGTCAGCTAAAGGCATATTTTACAGTCTCTATATTCCAGTTAACGATTAATCGATTACTAAATTAGTTGACGTTTATTTCAATAATCGATTAATATGATTAATTGTTTCAGGCCTACTCACAGTATTTATCAATGCCTCAGACTAAAGTTAAAACATCTAGGCAGTTCAAACTAAGACCCAGCTGTGATCCCTAACAGAGCATTTCATCATTACAGCTGTCTGTGTTTGCTGATTTTCCTTTTCACGTTCTAGGGATTCATTAGCTGGCAGCCTCAGTGGAGAACCACAGAGAGACAGAAGTGCTGAGGGGAGCCTCCGGTGGCAGACAGACCCATGGAGCTCCACTAAATGACTCACAAGGGAGTAGGAGGATAGAGTCAGGGGAAAAAACTCATCTAAAGCTGCTAAAGCTCAGTCAGTTTAGCCATCAAGAAAGTGAGAAGTCAGTCGCAATTTGGGGAGAAGCAGCACTGCAAACAAAAAAAAAGCCTCCGAGATTCAGCTTGGGAAGCTCTCAACCAGTTTCCCTGAATACAGCTAAGAAACTGGGAAGAGGAACCAAGCTGGGACACAGAGACATCCAAAGGTTTTTACTTGCATTTAGATCCTTTGGTAAACATCTGGCCCATGGAACAACAGGCCTATTTAGACAGGTTCTAAATATCATGTTGATATATTTTTGATCAATGGATGAAACTTTTAAAAGCCGTTGTTTTTTTTAAACAAGTTTTCTGGAAACAACGCATACATATCGCAGGAGTCCTTATTGATTAAATGGAAATAATAGTTTAGTAAAATTCCAAAAGCAATTCAATACTTTAAACAAAACGCATAAAAATATTTGAAAAGTTGAAAAACAAATAAAAAAAAAAAAAGTAAAACCAGCTTTAGTGAGGTGCACTAAGACCTGAATGATAAATAATAATAACTATTGGTAGCTGGTGATTAACCAATTCAATAACTGATAGAAAGTAGCGTTTTATATTTTGGTCAAAAAAGTAATAGCTATAATTTCACATGTGTGATACAAATTTAATATATAGTGGAAATTAAATAGTGGAAACAAAAAACAAAAACATTAATGCAGTCATCATTGTCCCAAAAACCGGTTTTCGTTCCATCAGTTGTTTTCCTAAAACTACATTCCTGCAATCAATGTGACAAATGAGGATGAAAAAGGGTCAGCTCCACGTGCTGTCATGGAAGGGCTGATGAGATCTGGTCTCTGACCAGAAGGGGGCTCTAGTGAGCTGCGTTCACACACCAGGCAGCTCCTGGTCACCTCCAAACAGAGGTTACAATCTCCTCCTTCAGATAAGACTTCCTCTGCATTCAACATTTCCACCGTGAAGGTGAACAGATGCAGAGAGCACCGAGGTTTGGACCGATACCGCCATTAATTCATGTATGATTGCACGATTTAGAGCAGCTCGTTTGCCTGAATCAGTGTTTTAAACACGATAGACTGATTTATGATCTGTTAAAGCTAGAAGTGCAATAAAGATAATCTGCGTTAAACAATTACTATAACATGGGACAATGGGTAATGCACATTTAAAAGCATCAATGTTTAAATCCTTAATTAATGCAGTTTTTATTACTAAATAAAATGACTTGATCCATTTCTTCTTGTTTCAATTCCGGATTTTCCATCTGTTTTATTTTAACTAAAATAAGGTTTCTGATGAAGTTCGCTGTTCATTTTACGACGAGAAATGGAAACGCCAGCATTGAGCATGTCCTTTGCAAAAGTTAAATTCCAAAAAAACAAAAGGATATAAATCTGCAGCGATGCAATCTGCTCTGTTTTGCACAGGTTTTGCACAAAATAAAAGCAGACACACAAAGGCCCATACAGCGCAGCTCATGCAAGAAGTTTGTATCTATTTTTGCATCTTGTAAAGAGAAAGATATTTCTAAACAAAAGATAAACCGCTATGAATAATGTTAGGAAGGAATCCTGAGCTTCATCACTAAATGGGCGACAGTGGCGTTGGATGTAGTAGTTTGCCCTGAAATCAAAGGCTTGACGGTTCAAGCCCCGACTCCGACTTTCAGTGTCGTTGTGTCCTTGGGCAAGACACATCACCTGCATTGTCTACTGATGGTGGTTAGAGGGCCGGTGGCGCCAGTGTACGGCAGCCCTGCTTCTGTCAGTGAGCCCTAGGGCAGCTGTGGCTACATTGTAGCTTGCCACCATCAGTGTTTGAGTGTGTGGGTGAATGAATGTAGTGTAAAGCACTTTGGTCAAGTCTCCTGACTTGAATAAAGACGCTATATAAATTATAAATATTAAACTCACCTTTTTTCTTTTTGAAGCATTTCCTGGAGAATTAAAACCCACTATATAAATATTTCCTTCAATCAGAGAATTTCTTAATAATGAATCTACAAAATAAATTTGACGCACAAAGGTCAGTGTTTTTTCATGGACTTCATGAAACGTGTGCTTATTATGCAGCAGCTCAGTGTGTGAGAACCAATCGGTGGCAGGTCTGAACAAGGCCCAGGTATGGAGAGAAAATACCTGGAGTGAGTAAAACGAGTGTAAAACGCTTAAGGATATTTAAGAAACCCAGTGGAATTCTTTTCCTTTTCTTTTTTTATTTTTTTTTTTTGACACCACTCTGTGTTGTCGAACCTGATACTGTGATTAGAAGTAAAAGAAAGCTGTTTCTCAAAGCTCTTCTCCTGTGTCTGCAGATATCAGGTGTCTTTCAGGTCAATGATGTTCCAGAGGAACCACTCACCTAGATTGCCTGTCAAAATGCTTGGAAAACAGAACCAATGTGTTCACTTCTTACATTTTGATCAATGAACAGATGCATAACTCGACACTACCTCTTATAAAGCCCCAAAGGGTAAACATAGTTCTTTCACTACATCAATTTTGTAAATTAAGGAGTCGATATGATTAAGTATCAAATGCAAAACAGTAAACCTAGAAAGAGTCTCAACCTTCCAAGAGGCCTCCGAGGTAGGAAGTGTAAGCCGATAGCGGGGGGGGGGGGGGGGAGGACACAGAAGCTGGCTCAGGCCACTTAGCAGTGTTAGAGCATTTATGGGCTTAGGTGGCAGGTGGCCGCCGCCGCCGCCGTGCTTTTCCTGCAGCTGAAATATTCATGCAGAAATCAGATTCGTCTGGTGCTCTGAGCAGCTGCACAAGTTGCTTTAACAGCTGAGGTTTGAAGGAGGGTCCCCGCGCTTTGATGGAGAGAGAGCAGTAAATCTTTCCTTTTCACTGGTTCATCAGCTGGCTTTGTTTTATCAAGGGCGACCAGGGGGCCGCATCTGGAAAAACGGCAGCAGATGACCTTTTATGAGGAAAATTGGCCGACGCAGGGGAAGTTGAGGAGCTTCTTAACTTGCCTGGAAGACATCTGATCCCTAAATAAGCTTTTTTATTGGTTAAATACTCCTATAATTAAAAACCAAGTAGTTTACTCAAAAGCTATTACATGTCTTGCTAACATACCCATGCACCTTCACCTTTTCAACTTTGTTTATGTTACAACAAATGTTAATGCTAATGGGATTTTACATAGATCCAAGTGAATTGGAGCAGTTTTTAAAAGTGTGGCATGCATTTGTAGTTATGTTGTTTAACCTGATAACATTAAATTAAAACTATTTACATTTTTATGAATATGTATAATGGATTTGTGTAATACCTGAATTTTCTACGGTTTTAACCATGCGGCTTATATGAAGGTACAGCTTTTATGTGGATTTTCCTAACTGCTTTACTTAATGTAAAGTCAAAGATGGAAATCAAAGAAGAAGGGGCTAATTTTCAATTAGCACAAAAACATGCTAGCAGCAGGCACAACAGAACAAATGAGAACTAGAACAAATGTCCCAAATTCACAGATTTTAACATTTATTTGCCATATTAAAGCTGTTGAACCAGTGAACAGACTGGTCTCAACTCCTGTAAAGAGCTGACTAACCCTCATCTTTAAAAGCTCTTACTGCTGCGAGCCAACAAGCTAACAGGAGCTAATATTCTTCTTCGCCCCTACTCTAGGGGGATATGTAGAGCACCCCCTACAGGTCTGGTTAGGGAACAGCTCAGTTGATATTGGCGTCTTTTAGCCCAGTGCGGCTTTTATGTACGTTTTCAGTTTAAAAAAAAAACTTTATGGGTGCGGCTTAAAGTGAGGTGCGCTCTATAGTCTGGAAAAACGGTGTATACAATATATCATATTTTTAGGTGAAATAGTGAGGGTTTTGCTTCCAGTGGAGCGGAAACGGAGGCGTCAACATTGTGCCAAGTGTGGAAGATGCTGCCGTCTGTATTTACAGGGGATGGTAGTGATGATGGCGGCTTTGGTGCGTGTTGGCTTTTTGCCACAGCTGCGCTCTCAGCTCCACTCTAACCCACTTGGCACCGGCCTGCTTGGTAACCTGATGCCAATAGAGGAGAGCTGGAGTTTCTGCTGTCAGGAGACTTCAGCGTCACGCTTCTCCCACGCCTTGATCTATGCAAGAGATTAATTACATCCTTACATGCGACGTTTCAGCTGGTGTAATTACTGAAGGATCGATAACCGAAGAGAAAATTTTTACGTGGTCATACTTGGAAATAATATAGAAATAAAAAGGTGCTGGTTTCTCATTTCTGATGTTTCAGTGTACGGGTTGGAGAGTGGGCCCGACCAACAGGGCCATGCAGGGACCATTTAGCT